CAAATGGGACCTAATGAAACTTAAAAGCTTTTGCACAACAAAGGAAACTATAAGCAAGGTGAAAAGACAGCCCTCAGATTGGGAGAAAATAATAGCAAACGAAGCAACAGACAAAGGATTAATCTCAAAAATATACAAGCAACTCCTACAGCTCAACTCCAGAAAAATAAATGACCCAATCAAAAAATGGGCCAAAGAACTGAACAGACATTTCTCCAAGGAAGACATACAGATGGCTAACAAACACATGAAAAGATGCTCAACATCACTCATTATCAGAGAAATGCAAATCAAAACCACAATGAGGTACCATTACACACCAGTCAGGATGGCTGCTATCCAAAAGTCTACAAGCAATAAATGCTGGAGAGGGTGTGGAGAAAAGGGAACCCTCTTACACTGTTGGTGGGAATGCAAATTAGTACAGCCACTATGGAAAACAGTGTGGAGATTTCTTAAAAAGCTGGAAATAGAACTGCCATATGACCCAGCAATCCCACTTCTGGGCATACACACTGAGGAAACCAGATCTGAAAGAGACACGTGTACCCCAATGTTCATCGCAGCACTGTTTATAATAGCCAGGACATGGAAGCAACCTAGATGCCCATCAGCAGACGAATGGATGAGGAAGCTGTGGTACATATACACCATGGAATATTACTCAGCCATTAAAAAGAATTCATTTGAATCAGTTCTAATGAGATGGATGAAACTGGAGCCCATTATACAGAGCGAAGTAAGCCAGAAAGATAAAGACCATTACAGTATACTAACACATATATATGGAATTTAGAAAGATAGTAACGATAACCCTATGTGCAAAACAGAAAAAGAGACTCCTATGTATAGAACAGACTTGTGGACTCTGGGAGAAGGCGAGGGTGGGATGTTTCAAGAGAACAGCATTGAAACACGTATATTATCTAGGGTGAAACAGTTCACCAGCCCAGGTTGGGTGCATGAGACAAGTGCTCGGGCCTGGTGCACTGGGAAGACCCAGAGGGATTGGGTGGAGAGGGAGGTGGGAGGGGGGACCGGGATGGGGAATATATGTTTAAAAAAAAAAAAAAATGAACTATTTTCAACAATGGAAAAAAAAAAATAAACATATTGTAAACAGTTAAAAAAAAAAAAAACTTCCTAGTAAAAAAAAAAAAAAAAAAAATAATATGTGTCCTGCTTCTGTTAGGTCCACACGATTTCTGCCCTTTAATGAACCAATCTTTGCACGAAATGTTCCCTTGGTATCTCTAATTTTCTTGAAGAGATCTCTAGTCTTTCCCATTCTGTTGTTTTCCTCTATTTCTTTGCATTGATCACTGAGGAAGGCTTTCTTATCTCTTTGTGCTATTCTTTGGAACTCTGCATTCAAATGGGTATATCTTTCCTTTTCCTTTTTGCTTTTTGCTTATCTTCTTTTCACAGCTATTTGGAAGGCCTCCTCAGTCAGACATTTTGCTTTTTTGCATTTCTTTTTCTTGGGGATGGTCTCACTCCCTATCTCCTATACAGTGTCATGAACCTCTGTCCATAGTTCACCAGGCACTCTGTCTATCAGATCTAGTCCCTTAAATCTATTTCTCACTTCCACTGTATAATCATACCTGAATGGTCTAGTGGTTTTCCCTACTTTCTTAAATTTAAGTCTGAATTTGGCAATAAGGAGTTCATGGTCTGAGTCACAGTCAGCTCTCGGTCTTGTTTTTGCTGACTGTATAAAGCTTTTTCATCTTTGGCTGCAAAGAATATAATCAATCTGATTTTGGTGTTGACCATCTGGTGATGTCCATGTGTAGAGTCTTCTCTTGTGTTGTTGGAAGAGGGTGTTTGCTATGACCAGTGCATTCTCTTGGCAGAACGCTATTAGCCTTTGCCCTGCTTCATTCTGTACTCCAAGGCCAAATTTGCCTGTTACTGCAGGTGTTTCTTGACTTCCTACTTTTGCATTCCAGTCCCCTATAATGAAAAGGACTTTTTTTTTTTTTTTTGGATGTTAGTTCTAGAAGATCTTGTACATCTTCATTAAATCGTTCAACTTCAGCTTCTTCAGCATTACTGGTTGGGGCATAGACTTGGATTACAGTGATATTGAATGGTTTGCCCTGGAAAAAAAAAAGGTCATTCTGTTGTTTTTGAGACTGCATCCAAATACTGCGTTTTGGATCCTTTTGCTGACTATGATGGCTACTCCATTTCTTCTAAGGGATTCTTGCCCACAGTAGTAGATATAATGGTCATCTGAGTTAAATTCACCCATTCCAGTACCTTTTAGTTCGCTGATTCCTAGAATGTTGACATTCACTCTTGCCATCTCCTGTTTGATCACTTCCAATTTGCCTTGATTTGTGGGCCTAACATTTCAGGTTTCTATGCAATATTGCTCTTTTCAGCTTGGGACCTTGCTTCCATCACCAGTCACATCCACAACTGGGTGTTGTTTTTGCCTTGGGTCCATCTCTTCATTCTTTCTGGAGTTATTTCTCCACTGATCTCCAGTAGCATATTGGGCATCTAACAACCTGGGGAGTTCATCTGTAAGTGTCCTATCTTTTTGCTTTTTCATACTGTTCATGGGGTTCTCAAGGCAGGAATACTGAGGTGGTTTGCCATTCCCTTCTCCAGTGGATCACATTTTGTCAGAACTTTCCGCCATGACCTGTCTTGCCTATGGGTGTCCAGGAGTCTCCAGCGAAGGTGTGGGTTGGTGGTGGCCTACTGCAGGGTTCAGGGCATGGACTGTAGCAATACATGCATGGGATCTTTTGAGGGAGGTCACCATTATCTTCATTACCTCCACTATAGTTTGAAAGTGAAAGTGAAGTCACTCAGTCTCGTCCAACTCTTTGCTACCCCAAGGACTGTTGCCTGCTAGGCTCCTCCACCCATGGGATTTTCCAGGCGAGAATACTGGAGTGGGTTTCCATTTCCTTCTCCAGGGGTCTTCCCAACTCAGGGATTGAACCCTGGTCCCCCACACTGAAGGCAGACTCTTTACCATCTGAGCCACCAGGGAAGCCCACCATAGTTTGGTCCCAGGTAAATAGCAGGGAACTTTTAGAACTAACACCCAAAAAAGATGTCTTTTTCATTATAGGGGACTGGAATGCAAGCCAAGTCATGTCTGACTCTTTGTGACCCCATGGACTGCAGCACACCAGGCTTCCCTGTCCCTTACCATCTTTTGGAGTTTGCCTAAGTTCATATCTCTTGCACTGGTGATGCCGTCCAACCATCTCATCCTCTGTCACCCTCTTCTCCTTCTGCCTTCAACTTTTACCAGCATCAGGCTCTTTCCCAATGAGTCAGGTGTTTGCATCAGGTGGCCTGTGAGCTTGACTAATATTTATTCAGGCTCTCCTGGCTCTACAGCCTGTCCTTCCTTTTTGTTTTTTTTTTTTTAAAGCATTTTCTTTAGAAAACTTGTAATTATAAATTCTTTCTGTCTCTTTAAGATATATGTAACTCTTAAAAATGAACCTCTTTCCTATTTTACAACCCCAAAGTGTCTTTCTTAAGGACCTAGGAGTCATCCTTTAAAATGCAGTCAAGAAAGATAGCACCCCTATTCCCAGGAGGGTGGGAGCCAGTTTCAGTTGGTACAGATGGCCTAACCACTTTCTCTTGAAAATCTTCTCCCTGAAGTCCTCCAGCCCTTTCCCACTATTTCATTCCAGCCTTTTCCAACCCTTTTTTTTTCAGCAGAGTTGAGCTTACACTGAGATCTGCCCTCACATCCCTATTCCAGTAACTTTGCATAGAGTCTTCCTTGCCTGTTTTAACTTTGTTCTGTGCAATTTTTATTTCACATAGGAAAACTAAGTTGAATGAAGCTACCTGTAGCACTTAACTCTTGCCTTAATTGTGTTCTTAAATGAAGAAGGAACACGAAATCTGGTGCAATGGGTCAGGGGACCTGCAGCCTCTAAAGGACTGAGGTGCAGAGTCCACTCTGAGTCCAGCTTTTATTTCTGATTGTAGACTACAAGACTTTTTTGATCTTATCTTTCCCAATACACTACACTGACGTAGTCCTTGTTTTTACCCCAGGCCATTCCCTTTTAGGCTAGTCTTGGGGACAATCACCAAGTATGCAGGCAGTGTTTATTCCTGATGCCGACACGGCATTCCAGGGTCTATGATTTCATGATCCCAGTCATACTCCCTTCTGGGTCTGGCTTTGGGGTTTGTAATAAGGAGATTATTCTCAAGAAAAATACAGTTTCTTAATATATGCTGGTTTTCCAGGTGCAATTTCTGTGAAATTTCTCAAGGCTGTCAAAGTACATTATTAGGAATTCCCACTGTATTTAACTCCCGCTCTCCTTTCTACTGTTTACTGAAGTATGTTCTGGCAATTTATTATGATAACCCTCTAAGATGGGTACAAGTAGCATCCTTTCTCCTATAGATGAGGAAACTGATGCCTACAAAAATCAAATAATTTTCCTTAGGTTATTAAGTAAACTGAATGTTTGTGTACTCCCAACACTCTTATGTTGAAATCCTGACCCCACTGTGATCCCATCAGGAGGTGGGAAATCTGGATTAGTGCTTTTATGAAACAGGCCCCTCCAACCATGTGAGGATACATCAAGCAGGCACCTTGTCTAGGAACTGGGCGCTCACCAGACAAGGATCTTCACAGAGTCTTGAGCATTCATAACTGATAAATAAATTTCTGTTGTTCAGAAGTCCCCCCGTCTATGTGATTCTATTATAGCAGCACCAACTGACTAAAACAACCTGCAAATAAATTTTGGATTAGTCCAGATTGGCACCAAAACATTTGCTTCCAAAGCCTTTTCTTTCAAATACTTAGCACAACCAAAAGAAAATTCCTGAGTATGTTTTTGTTTAATTTGTCTTGGTGAGCCCTTGTGTGTGTTTGGAGGGTACGAGCAAGTCTTTTACTTTGGGTGCTTGTCTGTCGTGTTTTTGTTGGGCGCAGGGTGGGGGTGGGGGTGGGGGTGGGGTACCTGGGCAACTTCGCCCAAGCGATGGGACTTGGAGAAGAAAAGAAAGAGAGGGAGGTCCTGGGCACTCACCGCTTGGAACTCAGAAGCATCTCTGCCACACCCGGGCGCAAGCTGAACCTGCAGAACCTCCTGCCAACGCCCTCGGCAATCTCCCTGGCTCAGGCTCGTTGCCACTGCCGGTTGAGGACCTGGCTGATTCGAGGACCCTGTGTGTGCTGTCTCCACTCCTTCCCAGCGCAAGCCCCCACACACCCTAGACCCCAGCTCGTCCAGACCCACAGCCGGAGAGCGGCCCCCTTGATCTGTCCACCTCCCCAGCACCCGCCAGCCTTCCCCTTCCTCCACTCTCTGAGCACTGCACCCTGTCCCCCCAACGTCTCTCGTACACCGCCCAGACCCTGAAGGCCCTATCTGCACCCTTTCACTTGCTCTTCCAGGTTCCTCGCCTCTGGACCCTACTGGACAAGCCCACAATCTTGTAACTCGTGGGCTCCCCGCTCCCTCATCAAAGTCACCCTCAGCGAAAACGGTGGCTTAAGGCAGGGAGGTTAAGGAGAGTCTATCGCTGACCGTCCCCCGCCACCCCTGGCTTTGTGGGAGCTAAACAGGTAATTTCCAGAGGCAAGGCACAGGCGCAAAGTCCTAAACCCCCCACGGTTGGCCACCCAAAAGCACCCCAGTCTGCAACATCGTGCAGCGGGTGCAGGACAGGCCGCCAAGGGGCCCTTTTTCCAGAGTGCACAGCCCAGCCCAGCCCTCCCCTCCACCTTCCGCACATTCAACCATGCCCTGACCGTCTAGGTGTTGGATTTACCCCACCTCAAAACCTTTCTCCTGCTCCCACATTTCACTCATGCTTGCTTCTTTGGCTGACCCCACCCGAATGCCCAGCTCCAGTGTAGCATAGCGAATCATAGGTTTTGACTTCTGACTGTTGGAGGGCAAACCCTCTGTCTCTCTCCTGCTGTGCCAGGTATCAATTTACTGCCTCTCAAGCGCCAAATAGATCTGGGTTCTTGAATTGACAGGTTAACTTTGTCAGGAGAGGGCGCTGGAGAAATACTGCAGGAGAAGGGACTTCTATTCATGATTGTTTTCTCTTAGATTCTTCTTGCCCTTACCTTGTCGCTGCCAGCAGTGGATGTGGAGGACATTTCGTGACACTCACCCCACCCCACCCCAGCCATGGTATTAAGTGTGAATTCCCAGAGATTCACGGAGGTTACCCTTTTTAGCACCAGCCTGCCAACAACCCAGAGGAGAGTTTCCTGCTTGCCAGATCTAGCCATGGTTCCTGTTGGCCAGCCTCAGCTGCCTGTACTGGGAGAAGTAATTCCTGCTTGTTAAGCAGGTGTGGAATAGCCCTGGTCCGGGGACAGTGAACTTCCTCACCAGATCATTTGAGCCACAACTAAACCTTTCCTTGGGGAGGAGGAACCATTTTCCAAGTTTGTTTTATGCTTGTGCTTCCCTGGTGGTTCAGATGGATAAAGAATCTGCCTGCAATGCAGGAGACCCTGGTTGGATTCCTGGGTTGAGAAGTACCCTGGAGAAGGGATAGGCTACCCACTCCAGTACTTCTTGTGCTTCCTTGGTAGCTCAGATGGTAAAGAATCCGCCTGCAATGTGGGAGACCTGGGTTTGATCCCTGGGTTGGGAAGATCCCCTGGAGGAGGGCATGGCAACCCACTCCAGTATTCTTCCCTGGAGAATCCCATGGACAGAGGAGGCTGGCAGGCTACAGTCCTTGGGGTCGCAAAGAGTCAGATACGACTCACCAACTAAGCACACAGAACATTTTACCTCAGCCATAGGACAGTCTCGGGGTTCTCTTTATTTCCTTATAGCTAATCCCCATTATGGTTAATGATTCTTTTAATTATCCCTGTTCAAATTGTTGTGTGGTTTCCTGATTCTTACTAGGGACACTGATAACCCTTCTGAACCTCCCAATGAGGACAATAATAGCACTTCCTATCTCAGAGGGTATCATGGGATTAAATGATCCAATGTATGTAAAGTGCTTAGTAGAGGAACTGACACATTTTTTGTTTGTTTGTTTGTTTCTTGTTGAAGGATGAAGAGATAGGATAGGTGATAAAGCCTCTCTCTTCCTATTAGACTGGAAGAATATTTTAAAGAGTCATTAGTGAAGCCAAGATGTAAGTAAAAGATTTAAAAAATGAGTTCCTTTTCCCTTCTAAAGATGGCCAGTCTGGGAAACAAATTTTGTAATTACTGAAGTCACTTGTCAGAGATTAATGGCAGGTATTGGAATGAAACCCTGAGAAAGTTATATCAATTTTAAAAACAGTACAGAGAATAGCTTCTAGATATTAATTACAATATCTAATTGAGGATATAAAAACCTATACCTGGGGAACTTCCCTGGCAGTAAAGTGGTTAAGACTTCACCTTCCAGTATAGGAGGTTCAAGTTTGATCACTGTTCTGGGAGCTAAGATCCCACATGCCTGAGGTCAAAAAACCAAAACATAAAACAGAAACAATACAGTCACAAATTCAACTGAAGACTGAAAAAAAAAAAAAAAAAGCCCTGCACCTCCATGCACCCTGCAATAGAACAGCTTCACTGACTTTATCTTGCAGTTTGAGGAGGATCATCCTACTTGTCGACTTCCTTAGTGGCTCAGGCAGTAAAGCGTCTGTCTGCAATGCAGGAGACCTGGGTTCGATCCCTGGGTTGGGAAGATCCCCTGGAGAAGGAAATGGCAGCCCAGTCCAGTATTCTTGCCTGGAAAATCCCATGGACTGCAGAGCCTGGTAGTCTACCATCCATGGGGTCGCAAAGAGTCGGACACGACTGAGCGACTTCACTTCATCCTACTTGTCTATTCATCTGCCTGTGATTCTGGAGAAGTGATTAGATTTCTCATGTTGCTTATGGGGGAACTCCAACTGCCTAAACATGAATTAGAATATGCTATCTCCCTCTCTCTACACCTCATTTCTTCTCCTTCTTTCTTTGTAAATAAGAGCTATGCCAAGAATAGAAAAGAAAGGACACTTCTTAAAGAATGGTCTGCTTTCTTTCTTGAACTCTAAATGTTCTCAGTGCAAATGCATGTGTGCGTGCTCAGTCCCTTCAGTTGTGTCCCACTCTTTGCGACCCTATGGACCATAGCCCACAAGGGTCCTCTGTTCACAGGATTCTCCAGGCATGAATACTGAAGTGGGTTGCTGTACCCTCCTCCAAGGGATCTTCTTGGAGGTTCTTTATCTCTAGGGCAACCTGGAAAGCCCCTTAATGCAAATATCCTTTAACAAATATAGAATGTTGGCTTGAGTTTTGGAAATACACAGTTTACCCCTATAAACTTTGATGTTAATTCAAATGGACTCTTTTGGTAGAAAATTGGTGTGTCTATTTGTGTGTGTTTTTAATCTATGAAAAAGGTAATTTTTGTTCCAGGCTTTATAGTCTTCTTATCTATAACTCAACTGCTAAAATGTAAAGTCATTGCTCTCTAGGCTGTACCATTCTGACAGCTCCATCATTTCTGAATGTTTCTTTTCAGATATTCAAAATACTCAGGACAAGACCCTTGTCCCCACTCTGATAAATGATGTTGTTTCATATTTCTAGGAGAGAAAATAGAAATTTCACTAAATATCTTTAGATTTGCACATGCTGGAATCACAAGCCACTATGAAGAAGGAACATATGTATCCTTTGAAGAACTCTTTATTACATAAATATATTTATACCAAGATATACACTCACAAGGATGCCCTTCTCTGTATCCAAGTATAGTAGAGAGTAGTCTAAGGAACACATAGGATCACTAGTTGCAAGGGAGTCTCAAGATGCTTTTTTCTCAGCTTCTGGGTTCTGCTGGCCAGCAAAAGTCAGGAAGACTTCTTCCAGAGTTATCTGACTGATGGAATAGTCTTCTAAATTGAATTCTTCTTTAGCTTCCTCCAAAATGCCAAACATCTTTAACAGCAACAACATAAAGTACAGTTACCATTGCAGTCCTCCTTTCCAGCCCACCACCCAGATGAGCCTCTCCTACACTTCCCCCAACTGCTGCCAAGTTAATGGTGGAGGACAAAAGATACAAAAGGTGGGGCTGAGATAACAGACAAAGTAGGTCACTGAGAATTTGAGAAGCAGGTCTCTGTCCCCATTCTCTTGATGGATATAGACAAAAAGTTGGACTTAAAGGTGGAAATCTGACTTAATTAAAATTAATTCCTTGGACCATTGAAAGTAACCTAAAGTCTCTGCTCCTCCTATAGCCCATTTCATAAGACTAAATCCCAAATGCTTTAGTGCTCTCTTAACATATAATAATATTAGAAGGGCATGGTTTCTACATTCACCTCTCCCCAGCTATTGTTCTTGCTGGGAACATAGTAGTTAATGATCCCTTGATTTTCATCTTTTAATTCACTACCTAAGAAAGAAAAGATAGGATTAGATACATAATTTTGCATATTGCTTTTTAATGTCAAAATACTGATACATCAGCTTAATTATATGTGTAACAGAGGGGTAAATAGATATGGCTAGTAAAAAAGGCGTATAATCCAAAAGTCTACCTCTTTAGTATACATGATACAGTTAATTTCTTCAGTAGATTAATTCCTGGTGTAGTAGGCTTTGTTTTATGGGTTTATAGGAATTATTGAGGATAGACTTACAGGCACAAAACGTTGTCAACTCACATGTCTAAAGGATGAAACTTGAGCCTTCTAAAATTCTAATGCTGTAAGATGTAATTCCTAAACATAGGGCTGAGAATATAAATGGGTGGGATTTTCATTCTGGCTTTATGAACATGTATGAATGTACAGCGTGTTTCCTGGGGAAGAGAGAAGAGGCTTTCTTTCTTTCTTTTTTTTTTTTTTTGAGAAGAGGCTTTCATGCTATTCTCATGATCCTATGCTAGATTAAAGAGAAAATCATACATATAAACCAACAAAGTCAGGCTGTATGTTCTTTTTCAAGTGAATAAGAATCCTCTGGTGCAAGTTGGGAGAAGAAGTGGTATACTTTCCAGATTTAGAACAAATATATTTGTTTATGCTTATCATAGTATTTTGTAAATTATTACAATTTAGAGGAGCCTGGTGGGCTGCCGTCTATGGGGTCGCACAGAGTCAGACACGACTGAAGTGACTTAGCAGCAGCAACAGCAAATTAATTGAGATTTTAAATATTTTAAAATATGTTAATATAATAAAACTAGGAAGCCATTAGACTGAGGTGGCTCTAATCCCTTGACAGTCTATGTAAGGAAATAAAAACCTAAGCCAGAGCAAATGTACTTGAATCTCAGAAAATTGACTCTAAGAACAGCTAATCACAAAGAGCCAACTACGTTTCCCCAAATAAGGCAACTGCTTAAGCTCTAGCAAATCAAATATTTCCTTACTTTTCCCCATGTCTTCTCTATAAACGTCTCTCCCCTAATTCCTGTCTGTGGAGACCACCTAACCACCTTTGGTTTGGTGATGCCCAATTAGAATCAATGTACACTCTGATAAATTCTTGGAAATTTTTGATATGCATCAGATGAGTAGTTCTGACATCAAAGTGAAAGTGAAAAAAGTGAAAATGTTAGTTGCTCAGACATGTCTGATTCTTTGTGACCCCTCAAATTGTAGCCTGCCGGGCTCCTCTATCCATGGAATTCTCCAGGCAAGAATACTGGAATGAGTTGCCATTCCCTTCTCCAGGGGATCTTCCTGACACAGGGATCAGTCTGGGTCTCCTGCATTGCAGGCAGATTCTTTACTCTCTGAGCCACCAGGGAAGTAACGTGGGATCCAAAAGGATGCCCAATGGCTCTATGAGCAAAGTGCTACCAGATGTAGGTTCTCACTGAGCCCTTTGTTTTCACTACTTTCTCACTGCACCTGATGGTCTTAAGTAAATCCCTCTTGGATATCTGAGCTCCTAGCTTTTCTGTCAAGAGCTCTGTAACTTGATTTGAGGTTTTTGGATATCTGAGCTCCTAGCTTTTCTGTCAAGAGCTCTGTGACTTGATTTGAGGTTTTTTTTTTTTTTTTTTCTTTTTTAACCTGACTGGGTATGGAGTTGGACTGGGTCTGACTTAAACATCATTAGCTGTCTGTCTACAACCAGACTGGGTTCAGAGTCAGACTAGGTCCAACTTAAACTGGACTGGGTTCAGTGTGAGGCCTCTGGAAAACATTTTCTTAATGAAAGGAAAGAAGAAAATGACTTCCTCCATATTCAGAGAGTTTGGGGCTCCAGCTAACTATAATGGACACAATTTATGGGTCCATGTGTTTTTATCCATTCGACTAATGTCTGTCTTTTGATTGGAGAGTTTAATAAACTTTAAATGGCTTCATCTTTTCCTGGGCTTCATCTGAAGGATAGCTCTTCCAGTTACATTATTGTTGGTTGACATTTTTTCTTTCAATATTTTGAATATATATTTTCAATTTCTCTTGGCTCGAAAATTTTCTGCTGATAGGTTTATGGGGTTCTCTTGTTTGACAAATTACTTTTCTCCTGCTTTTTGCCTTTGACTTTTGACAAATTTATAATATGCTTTAGCCCCTTTCTGGTTCAACTATTTGGAGTTCTTTGGGCTTCATGAATCTGAAAATCCATATCCTTCCCAAAGTTTAGGAAATTTTCAGCTATGATTTCTTTAAATAGACCTTCAGTCCTTTTCTGTTCTCGTTCTGGGATTTCCATAAAATATAAATTGTTTCTGTTATGGTGCCCTGTAAATTTTGTCAGCTTTCTTCATCTTTTAATCACTCTTCATTCTTTTTGCATCTCTGATTGGATAATTTCAAATGACCTATCTCATAGTTCACTAATTCTTTCTTCTGACTGGTTGAATCTGGTGAATTTTTCAGTTTAGTCGTATTTTCAGTTCTAGGATTTCTGTTTGGGCTTTTTTATGGTGCCTGGTTTTTTGTTGTTGTTGTTATTGTATTTATCATTTTCTTTTTGCATTGTACCACTAATTTCACTTGGTTGTCTCTCTGTGTGTTCATGTAGTTCATTAAATATCTTTAAAAGGATTGTTCTAAATTCCTTGTCAGACAGCCCACAGATCTCCATTTATTTAAGGAGTTTCATTAGTTTCTTTGGGTAGTGTTATGTATACCTGACTCTCTGTGGTCCTTGATTCCTTGAGTTTGTATCCACTTTTGATAAGTAGTCTCCTCTTGTCGAGTTTACAGACTCACTTCAGCAGGGACACACCTTCACTCATCAGCTCAGCCAGAGGTTTGGACTGTTTGTGTGGCAGCGTCCAGGGGCAGACAGGGTCTTGGCTTGGGCAAGCACACTGCTTGCGATCTGAGGTTGAAGGTGGGTGGGTGGGCAGGGCTGCTGTCTGATTTCTGTGGCTGAACTGACCTTCCAGCTGAGCTGTTCAAGCATAGTGGCTGGATAGGCTCCCTGGATGGACAAGACTCATGATTACAGGCTACTATTTCATAGTCTAGTGGTGACATTAACTGAGATCTGTAATCACCTCTGGCCTGTTGAGGTACAGGCTGTGCTCCCGGGAAGGGTAAGACCACTGTTTGACTCCATGATTGGGCAAGGCTACATATGGGCTGGACACAATTGCTCTTGGGGAAGGGGTTCATATTGTGCTCCTTGACTGGATGGTGCCAATTTCTGGTCTCTATGTTCAGGTGGGACCACAGACAGGGCTTTATCTTTAGATGAGGCCTCAGGCTGTGCTCATGATTATACTGGAAAGTTAACTGCACTCAAAGTTGGATAGGACTGCAGGCTAGCCTTCACAATCTAGTAGGCTGTTGGTTGTGTTTCATTGCTGGCTAAGGCTACAGGCTGGGCTACTTTGAAGAGGGTCACCAGTTTTATTCCACAGTTGTATGGGCTCGATACTGTACTCTGTGGTCAGACAGGGTCACTGTCTGGGCTCTGTCTTCAAGTCAGGCCTTAGGCTCTGCTCCATGAATGGGCAGAGTCACTGACTGGATTTTTTACATGAGCAAATCCATATGCTGTGTTCTGCAATTGAGCAAAGCTATAATTCTAGGCTCTGCAGGTGGGCAATATCATAGGCTAGATTCTAAGGCCATCCAAGGCCATCCTGGTGATGTATGGCCAGAGGCTATACTTACCAGTTGGGCGAGACTGTTGGTTTGGCTCCCTACCAAGCATGTCTGTAGAATGGGCTTAACAGATGCTCAAATTTACTGGCCAGGCTTCTTGGTCAGGTAGTTTGGAAGCTATACTCAGAAGTTGGGTAGAGCTGTGAATTTGCTTCTCTTCCTAGACAGGGCCATGGAACAGGCTCCATAGCTGATAGGGTTTATTGGCTGGGGATCCAAATCAGGCAGACCTGCCCTTTGAGCTCTTTGGTCAGATAAGGCCAAAGTGCAGCTATAGGTTGGGTTCCATGGTTCTTCCTAAATTTTCTGGCCAGGCTTACTGGTTGGAGGAAACTAGAGGCTATACTCACCAGATGGTCAGGGGCTTTGAATCTATTTCTCTAGTCAGCAGGGCTATAGAATGACTCTACACCTGGTATAGCTAATTGGCTAGGGACTCAAACCTGGTAGAAGTACCCTCCAAGCTCTCACACCAGACATGGCCACCAATTCAGCTTTGCAGATGAGCAGAGCCATTGGCCTGGAACTCTACTCCAATGCTGTTGCAAGGAAGAATGTGGTTTTGCTAAGATCTGTGTGCTCAGTGCTTGAAGCACCAGCCCTCTTTCAGTCTTTATATAGTCTCAAGTGGTTAAGTCTCACAGGTTCACCCAGTGATTCTTGAGAGTTAAGATCCAAGTGGGCCTCCGAAGAAGCATTCTGCAACACTGGGGGACCTGATGAACACCACTGACTCTCTTTTCCCAAGTGGAGAAACTGCAGATCTAAGGGAGGGTTGATATAGTCAGTGTATAGGTCCTCTTACCCTTCTCATATCTCTCTTGGTTTCTGTTGCCCAGGAGGTTGCTTCAACCTTATCTCCAGGTTCTGGGATTTTCATAATGGTATCTTGTCTACAGATAGTTACTAGTTGGTCTTCTTATGAATATGATCTTCCCAACTGATGTTGGGAATGACCTATGTTGCCATCTTTATATCACTCTCAATATTATAAGTTTGACTCATGCTGTTACATATAGTTATTCATTCATCTCCGCTTCTTCACAGTGGTAATCTGGTATATGATTACTCCATAACTTATTTTCCATTCAACTGCTGGCAGGTATAATGTGAATATCATTGATTTAAATATTTTATTTATCTCATGGCACAGGTGGATGCAAGTATAATAATGTAAGGAACAGCCACCTTCAGTTGAAAATGTTCCTCAAACCACATTTCTATTAAAGTTTTTGTGTCCACATCCTCAAGGATAGGTCTCTGATGTTTAGTGTCTCTTCTTTAAGACTTGTCTTAGAGAAAGTTTCTAGGGCAGCATAAGTAAATGAGACTTTCTGTTTACAGCTTTTCTTTGTAGTGATTTAGGCACTATATCTCAGAAATATTTGCTGAATGAATGCATAAATGAGTATTAAACTTCTTAATAGACTATTAATAACAACACTGAGGTAATTCTATTTCCCATACATCTGTTCCCCAGATCTGCTCTATCTTCTATTTCTTTTTATTTTCTGCTCTCCATTCTTACTGTGTAATCAATCAGGCTATTTTCTATTGCTTGGAAGCTAAACTTCCAACTCCTCAGCCTGACACACAATGGGGATGTCTGTGATATCTTGCTCAGCGTAGCAGAATGGAAACTAAGATGAAAAAGCAGAATTAATAAAAGTCTTACCATGTTTCTTCTTCACATTTAGGAAGGAAAGATAAGAGATAGAAAGAAATAATTGCTGTCTCTGGCACTGTACCATATAGTCAAAGAAATGCTTATTGAATATAGCATGAAGAAGTGCTATTCTTGCAAAAAGAAAAATGTTTAGCGGTTCTTGTTTGAATTTCAGTTTCATATCCTGATTGGGACAGCAAAAGACCACAGTTATATTTTTCAGTGTGAGGTAAAAAACCTTAAAACTTTTCATGAGTGATATTATGGAAAGATTTGTGTCATTCCCCACCCCCCACTTCCACCCCCACCAAATTCATTTGCTGAAGCCCTAACCCCAGTTGATTGTGTTTGGTCATATGTCCTTTAAGGAAGTAATTAATGATAAATGAGGTCATAAGGGTGGTACCTGGATCCACTATGACTGATGTCCTTATAAGAAGAGTAAGAGACACTAGGCATGGATACATGCAGAAAAAAAAAAGCTGTCTGATGACACAGTGAGAGAAGGAGGCCATCTGTGGGCCAAAAAGAGAGGCCTCAGGAGAAACCAGATCTCCTGAAATCTTGATACTGAACTTCTAATCTCAGAACTGTGAGAAAATAAATTTCTGCCATTATGCCAGTCAGTCTGTGGTATCTTATTATAGCAGCCCTAGTGGACTAATACAGATTATATTTACTAAAAATTGAGAATTATGTTCAAACATAATTTTAGGTATATAGGTCATATGGACAGCTCTAATGTCACAACTACCTTACTAGTTAATATACACCAAGATATTGGTGAATACTTCTGTTCTTTGTGCAAACTTCTTAGCACAACCAAACATGAAAAGTTTAAAAGAACAAGCATTCCAAAAATAATTCAACATGGAAGGGCAATTAATATCAATAATTCACAAGAAATAGTTACTGGAGATATGCAGCACATGGATGGTGAGAACAATAAATATGATTTAACACATCTATATCAAAGCTAACCCAACCAACCAAGTTTACCTGGGAAAGTTGTTTCCATAAAAGTTTTAAAATCCTCTAATTTGTTCTCTTCTTCATCAGTATTGATCTTGACTTTTAGGATGTAAACATTGCCAAATTTGTTCTTGAGATGCTGAGGGCTGCCTAGGCACATGAACTTTCCCTTCACCATGATGGCCAACTTAGTACAAAGAGCATCGCATTCCTCCATACTAGTAGAACAAAACACCAAAATGATGTGAAGCTTTAAAAAATCTCTATCAGAAGATATTCTATAGTTCAAATATCCAGTATTTTGTGACCCTCTTTGAAAAAGGAAGTTTCATCTGCCCCTCATCAACATCATGGCAAATGGAGATATTTTAAAATTAAAAGTAGTAAAATAATCTACAGGATATAATGTACAGCATATGGAATATAGCCAATATTTTTAATAACTTCAAATGGAGTATAATCTATAAAAATATTGAATCACTAGGTTGCACACTTGAAACTAATATAATATTGTAAATCAACTGCACTTTAGTTTTTTAAAAAGTAGTAAAAGACCAGATCCTCAAATGGAACAGTTCCTGAACTTCCTGCCCTCTCATCTCAATGAAAACTCCTTCCCATAGGTCATACCATTATAACTCTTCTAACCCTTAACCAAGCCTCCCAGGCAGCCGCACCTGTGAGATGTTATGATGATTGCTTTGCCACTTTCACGTGACTGTGTCACTGCATTCCAGAGTAGGCGCCGGGCTACTGGGTCCATACCAGTTGATGGCTCATCCAGGAAGACGACTGAGGGCTTTCCCATGAGGGCAATAGCAGTACTCAGTCTACGTTTGTTTCCTCCACTTCATAGTTAAGGAAAGAGAGAGAAAGCAGAAACAGAGATGGGTATATGTGACAGCAGTTTAATACATTAAAAACATATATTTAATATATATCCATTATTTACAGGAAACAATTAAATTATTTCCAAAATGCTGAGTCATAGGAAATATCCAAGATATTAAAAATGCTGATTGCATATCATTCAACCAAGGCATTGGGCTTCCCATGTGGCACTAGTGATAAAGAACTGCTTGCCAATGCAGGAGATTAAAGAGACATGAGTTTGATCCCTGGGTCAGGAAGATCCCTTGGAGGAGAACATGGCAACCCACTCCAGTATTCTCTCCTGAAGAACCTCATGGACAGAGGAGTCTGGTGGGCTGCAGTCCATAGGGTAACGATGAGTGGGACACACATGCATGCAACCAAGGCATCAGATCCAAATGCAAATATATAAATCAAGTCATTTTCATTTGAAATGTAGAAAGGTGACTTTTGTCTACCAGAGTTCCTTTAGATTCCCAGACATATAAACAATATATTTACCAGGCCAAACAAAGAATTTTACATGGTCCTTGAGAGACAAAGAACAGAGAATAAGGGAGAGAGATGCTTTCATTTATAATTCAATGACTACATTTGCAATTGAACCAGGATTGTGTTTCATCTCTGCAAGGGAAAATTGTGATACTAATTAGGTCTGCTTTATTGCTGATATCCCAGTACTGGCAAGGCATTAGATTATTTCCCAGTCATTGCTTCTGTTTGTCAGTGGAACTCTGGCTAGATTGTGGGCACTGATTCCAAAGATCAGAATCATCAGAAGGCTCCTCAGTATTAGCTGAAATGAGAGCATCAGTATGATATCTCACCTGTAAGTGTAAATATACTTGTCAGCATAGGATTCCAGATTCAGTGCTTGCATTGACTTCTTTATATAATTGTTAATTTTGGCCTCAGGAATCCCCCACAATCTGGCATACATGATCATTATTTCTCGAGCAGTCATGAAATCCAGTAAGGCATCAAACTGTGGGCAGTAACCAATTTTTGATCTTACCTAAAATAAAAGAACAGCAATGGACATAAGTCAACTATATCTCACTGAGCATATAGTATACACAAATAACATAGAAGACCTGACACTTTCCAGCCCATGCCTCTAAGAAGGTTATAAGCCAGAGTTTTAGTAAATAATTTCTTTCCCAGTGATTACAGAGTCATTGCTGTTATAAGCTATTGTCATGTATTAAAATTAAAACTTTGACAACCCTAAAAAGTAAAAGAGATCTAAATCAATTGTGATGTCCAGTGTTGATAACTGGATGGCTATTTTAGAACTTTGGTATCTTATTTTTTCTAACAAATCTTCATTAGTTTAGCCCCAAGGGATTTCAGGATTTCATAATCCTGAGACTGCCATAGAAGGAGAGTCTGGGCAGTTATACCTAGGCTAGACTCAGTGATATCCTACTTTTTGGTAGTGATGATAAATGGACTATAAGTGGGGTCCTCCATCTCTCTGTTATATGCAATATTAGTTTGTGAGAATCATCTAATGAGCAGAATTAGGATCCTAGCTTTTATTTCAGTCATATATTAGTCATGAAAGAAGTCAGAACATATTATAAAAATTTTATAATATTCAGAGAAAATATCTGACAACATGGAATTAAATTAAAAATCAATAATAAAGCAAATATTTTAGAAACTTCAATATTTTTCATATTTCAAAATGAATTTCTAAGACTACATCCTTAATTCATGAGCTGAAAAGCTCAATTTACCTTGCAAAATATTTTGAACCTATGGGATATAGGCCACTTTAAACAACAGAGTAACAAACGAGTTTAAGTCAATGATTAAACTATTAACATATTAACATATTTGTAAAAAACAGATTCAAAGGATTTGGGAAGATAGTTGAGTAGGGAGCACCAAGAATAAATAAATAATTTATTTATTATTTATCTCAAAATAATAAAATTATTTTGGGACTCTATAGTCTACTGAAAGCTTTCAAATTTCTAGGGGAAGATTTGGACTGTAAATTGTGGTTAATTGCAGTCAATTTCAGTTGTTAGCATACTAGCGTCTACCATCCTCCATCCCCACACCAAGTCACATTTGTGCATATGTTCTTGAAGCAGCTTTTACACAGCTAGGGGGAGACAGGATGAGCAAACAAGATCCTGTCCTCCAAATAAAGGGCATCTGTGCTCTAAATGCTTATTGCTGCTTCTGATTGTGGAGGTACAGACCAACAAGAAAGCATGAGGAACCTAAAAATAAATAATCAGGCACTAACCCTAAAAAAAAAATGATGTAAATCTACTAGACAGATACTTTAAAGTGACTATCTTAAAGGTATTCAAGGAATTAAAAAAGGATGTGGAGAAAGTCAAGAAAATTATTTATGAACAAAATGGAAGTATCAATAAAAAGAAACTATAAAGAGAAACTAAAATAAATTTTGGATTTGTTAAGTGCAACAACTAATTGAAATGAAAATTTCACTAAAAGGATTCAAAGGCAGATTAGAGTAGGCAGAATAATCAGCAGACAAAGATATGACAATGGAACATGGAAAAGAAAGCAAAAAGAATTAAAGAACAGTAGATTGAGCCTAAGGGACATTTGAAGCCATTAAGTAGATGAACATATGCACTGTAGGTGTCCTGAAGAAGAGAGTAAGAAAAGGACAGAGAGAATATTTGGATAAATGATACTAAAACTTCTCACATTTGAATACAAACATCCAAAAAGATCAATGAAATTCAAAGGAGATGAATTCAAAGAGAACCACACCAAGACACATTAAAATCAAGGTTTCCAAAACCATAGACAAAAAAAGAATCTTGAAACCTGTAAAAGAAATGAGACCAATCATATACATGGAATCTTCGATAAGATCATGAGCATATTTCCCATCAGAAATTTTGGAGGTCAGAAGGCAGTGGGCCAAAAGTACTCAAAGTGCTTTAAAAAGAACTGTCAACAGAAATCCTATATCTGGCAAAACTGCCTTTCAAAAGTAAGGGAGAAATTAAGGCATTCACAGATTAATAAAGACTGAGGGAATTTGTTACTGTTAGATCTGCCCTCCAAGAAATGCTACAGGGAGTTTTGCAGGGTAAAATTAAAGGACACCAAGGTGTAACTCAATATGAAAGAATAAATATTTCAATTAATGTAAATATATGAGCAGTTACTATTGATAATAGCTAATATAACACAAATTTATAACTCATTTTTTCTACATGATTTAAGAGATCAATATATTTTTAAATTACTAGTCTAATAGTAATTATAACTACAATTACAAAACTTTGTTTTGTAAATTCACATTTTATTTTCTACATATCATTATAAAAGACTCTGGGTTGGAATGATCCCCTGAAGAAGAGCATGGCAACCTACTCCAGTATTCTTGCCTGGGCAATTCCATGGATAGAGGAGCCTGGTGGGCTATAGTCCATGGGGTCGCAAAGAGTCAGACACAACTGAAGCAACTTAGCATGCACACATATGAAAGACTAATTCATTGTTCACATAATGTATAAAGATATAATTTTGTGACATCAGCAAAAAATGGGTAGAGACAGAACTATAAAGAAGCAAAATAATTGTTATTGAAGTTATGCTTCTATAAATACAATCAGTGTTATAACTTCAGATGTTAAATATAATCAATACAGTAACCACAATGAAAAATAGCTATGTGAGTGAGTGAAGTCACTCAGTCGTGTCTGACTCTTTGCAACCCCAGGGACTGTAACCTACCAGGCTCCTCCGTCCATGGAATTTTCCAGGCAAGAGTACTGGAGTGGGTTGCCATTTCCTTCTCCAGGGGATCTTCCTGACACAGGGATCGAACCTGGGTCTCCCACATTGCGGGCAGACGCTTTACCATCTGAGCCACCAGGGAAGCCCGAAAAATAGCTATAGAATATGCACAAAAGGATATAAGAAAGGAATTTAACTATGTTACTGCAAAAAATAAGTGACTTAGCACAAGAGATGAACATAATGTAGGAAGTACAAAGAACAAAAAAGGAAGGACAAAAAAGCAATAAGGCATATAGAAGACTAACAGCAAAATGTCAGAAATAAGTCATGTCTTACCAACAATTACTTTAAATGTATAAATTAAACTTTCCAATCCAAAGGCAGAGATTGGCAAAATGGTTAAAAATCACAATCTAATTATACTTTGTTTTGTTATAAGACACAAATACTAGAGTGAAAGGATGGAAAAAAGACATTCCATGCAAATAGTAACCAAAATGTGGTGACCCAAGAAAGAGCAGATAAAACCAAGGAGGGTCTTGGAAGAATAGAAAAACCAGACCCTTATCATCCTTCCCTCCCCCATGTTGTTAACTATTAGTGGATTTTAAGTCCTTCTGATCAGTATAACCTATCTCCCCTCCTATCTCCCCATAGGGAGAAGGTCTTTGCCTTATTCTTCTTCCCACCCAGTACACATGCCTCATCCAATCAGCAAATGACTCACAAGACCCTTATCCCATTCCTTGTACCCTGGGTATAAAAGTGGACTAAAGACCCCTGTCCAATGTCGGTTCTCCCTTGAGCTGGCCCACTGTTCTAACAGCATCTCTCAATCTAATAAGCGTTATTTCCCTCTCATTCTGTCTCACGTCTGGAAATTCTTTTCCAACCTGTGCACACAACACGACACCAAATAGCAGGGTAGTTATGCTTGTATCAGACAAAAGAGACTTAAAATATAAAAAAGATTACAAAATACAAAGGACATGATATATTTATAAGGGTTTCAGTGGAGCAAAAAATGTAATAATTATAAATAGCTATCACCTAACAACAGACCATAAAATATATTAAAAGCAAAACTGACAAAATTGAAGGGAGAAATGAACAGTTCTATAATAATAGTGGAATATTTCAGTATTACACTCTAAAACACCACGAGTCAACTAGATTTAACAGACATATACAGAACATTCTAGATTTAACAGATTTACAGACACATACAAAACAACAGCATAGATATTGTTTTAACATTCATATGGGACATTTTCCATAATAGAAAATATATTAAGCCATGAATTATTTCCATAGATTTAAAATGACAGCCATGATTTTACCTTCTCAACCACAAGGAGACAAATTTAGAACTCAAAGTACTTTACTTTTGCAAGAGTAAAATGGAAAAATTCACTAATTTTTGGAAATTAAACAATACACTCTTTCAAATGATGGATAAAAGAAGAAATCATGGAAGATGTTGAAAAATACTTAGAGGTGAATTAAAATCAAAACAAAATATACCAAAACTTAAAGGACCCAGTTAAAGAATGCTGCAGGATAAATTACAGCCTTGAACACTTATGTTAAACACCAAGAAAAATCCCAAATCCACAATTTAAATTTATAATTCAAGAAAATAGAACAAGGGTAAACTAAACACAAAACAAACAGAAGGAAGGAAGTAATAAAGATTAGAGCAGAAATACATGCATAGACAACAGAAAAACAATAGAGAAAAATCAATGAAACCAGAATTTAATTACTTGAACAGTTCAACAAAATTAACAAACTTCTAGCTAAATAAACTGAAAAAAGAAAGAGGACTCAAATTACTAAAATCAAGAATAAAAGTGAGAATATTGCTACAGAAGTAATTGCTGCTGCTGCTACTGCTAAGTCATTTCAGTCGTGTCCGACTCTGTGAGACCCCATATAGACAGCAGCCCACCAGGCTCCCCCGTCCCTGGGATTCTCCAGGCAAGAACACTGGAGTGGGCTGCCATTTCCTTCTCCAGTGCATGAAAGTGAAAAGTGAAAGTGAAGTTGCTCAGTTGTGTCCGACTCTTAGTGACCCCATGGACTGCAGCCCACCAGGCTCCTTCGTCCATGGGATTTTCCAGGCAGGAGTACTGGAGTGGGGTGCCATTGCCTTCTCTGACAGAAGTAAAAAGAACCGTAAAAAGTCCTATGAAAGAAATGGAAGAAATGTACAAATAACTAGAAACATAAAATCTACGAAAACTAAAGCCTAAAGAAACAGAAAATCTG